TTTCAGATCAATCCTAATGGTTCTCCGATATTAGGTGGAACTGAAAGTTCAGGATAGATACAAATTCTGCAACATTACATTATTGGTTTGACTGTGGAAGCAGTTTATAAATAATGAAAAAATATATAATATTTATTTATATATGTACGTATACAAAGATACAGTTTTAAATAAATTAAGAACCACAAATGAACCCTAGTTCATCGATTTTTTTGTTCTTGGAGCATCCAAACATATTTTTTTAAGTTGTCGGTTCACTGTTTACCAACTTTCTGACGTTTGCGAATAAGCCTAACCTCACTTCTGCTATTCTATACATTGTCTTCATCATTGTATACATTGTATTCACTGTATACGCAAAGCATACGTTGTATTGATTGTATACACATTGTATACATCGAGACGTAGACAATTAATGTATACGCGTAAACGCCCATCACTGCGTACTTGATTGGCTTTTTTACCATTCCAAATATTGAGAGCCCGTTTCTATGAATGGACACCTGGCCTGGTTACCCCACAGTGGATTCCTTCCTGAGAATATTGGGTTTTTGGATAAGTCTGTACGAGCAAATTTGTTCAACTTTTCGTTGCCTTTGTATTCTTCGTGTGCGGTTATCTGCACGCATATTCTGTATCCTCTAAGAAAGAAATTTCTTCCTATAAACTCTCTATCTCTATGTTGTTTACATTTCGTAAAAGTGGGATTATGTATATATTAATAACAACGACGGTTAATAATAATCATCTACAAGTTAATACCATGGGTAAATCTCAGTTTAATATCAAACTACTTAATTTTCAAATAACATTTTCCAGATAAACGAGATTTTAAGACTCATCCTCAACAGTGGAGCACTATTGTGGACTTTGGAGAAGAGCATCCCACAATTTTTAGACCACAATTCAAACATAGTGACGGTGATGCTAGACAAAATGCGATATGTTGGGAGAATCTAGTACAATCATTGAATTCGATGGGACTTGGGTTTAGGAGTGTGGAGAAATGGAAAATTATAGACAGTAGTTTACCACTTAGGTTATATATATATATAACTGGAAAAAACTTTTGATTACTCTAAAGTTCTTTGAGAATTTGTAATTTAAACGTTCAAAGCACAAACCATCTCCAGCAGCTTACCAAAATGATTAAAATTATATCTGTACCTCAGAATAAAAGTGTATCATGTCACAAAACTGATGTTTTACAGGAGAAGGCCTTAAACTTATGAAGATCACGTTATCGAAATTTTATTGATTTACAATGTAGCTTGTGCGTTAATTAACTTATTATTTGAAGCAGGACCTAATTATTAATTGAGATACCACTTTCAAATCATTCAGAGGCCTCCACTTTAAATTAAAACATTTTTTTAAATTTGCTTTTTGGACTTGGTACACTTTTGTTCTGATACTAAATCCATTACTGGTTCTTCACATACGGGTGAGTAGGACTTGATACATTTAGCCTGTACTGCAATTACCATTATTGTTATGCAACTATGGGGCTTTGAAGGTGTAGAAAGAGAGGCATCCAGTTTTATTATGTTTAATTATAAAACAAAAACAAAAGACGAAGGTTTACACTCTAAACAAGAGTAGATATACAGGTAAATATCGTTTTAAATCCGTTACTTTGACTCTTCACTCCCCTCACTTTCATTCTTCTGGCGAAGATTTTTATAGAAACTGTGGAATTCTTTGGGAATCCATTTAAGCAAGAGCAAGATGCTGATATTTTTTTGCAGAGATCGGATGCGATCCCTCGGGAATCAATTTTGGGAGCTCAGTTACTTGTTGCACCCGACGCCCAGTCCTTGTTAAGTTGACTTCATGGAACTCTTTTTCCTCGAAATCATATTTATAAAACAAAACATCAGGAAACTCTTGTCTAAGTTGAATATGAACCATTTTTGAAATGCATACGTCCTCTCCAGCTTCATTCTTCTTACGGGCCATAAACGGTGACGTAGTTTTGTTGTAAAGAGTCTTAAAGTTCAAGAAATCTTCAGACTGCATGTTAATTATTAGGAATGGATTGTTGGCGCTACTCATTCTGGCTAGCTGCTGCCAATCCCAAGGTGTTACTATTTGGAATCCAACAGTTTTTTTCCTTTCCCTTTCAATTGGAGCATGACAAGCATCTACCTCGAGATGCGTGTGACCCCGCAACAAATATTTATGGTTAATAACTTGTAAAGAAGGAAACTCTCGTAGAATCCAAAGATACACCATGACCATTATAAAATTCCTATTTTGAGACGGACAGTTGTCAGACCAAACTACGATTTCACTGTGATGAGATTTAATGTTGTTCTGTGCCCATCGAAGCATACCCGATGCCATTTCATTTGCTCCACGACTTGCCTTTGACTCATCCCACATCACACAGGTAGTTATTTTATTTGTAGAGTCATATAAAGTGTAGTTATAAGTCCATAACTTCAAAGCATAGAAGCTCTGGTAGTTAGTCAATACTGGCGTAGGCAAACATTTTTGCAGGTCTACAGTAAGCATAATCTTACTTGTACTATACTTGGCATAATCCTCTTTATCAGCCTTTTTAAGGTGGTAACGCTTTGAAGATTCTGCAAGGTGATCATCATACTGACTTTGGAGCTCTTTCTTCTCATCAGCACTTTGTGCATCCTTGAGGCATATCAAGTAACTGTCGCATTGATCGCAGGTGTCATTGTTAGGGTATTTGAAAGATATATTAAAGTCTTTATTGAACACCTCCGTATAAAGCCACTCTTTTGCAATGTGCTCTTCTGGTACATTGTTTTCTTCGCAATAGCCTCTGTAGAGCCTGTATAACCTTGACAGATTCAAATGGTTTCCTAAATACTTCTTTTGGGATCGTTCGCGTGAATAATGGGACTCCACGGCTGGAATCTGCATGATATGCACTCTAATACCCTGTTTGATAAACTCAGGGATTTTTGAATGATTCCCATGACGTTCATCAACAGCTATCATTCCTCCTGCTTGTTTTTTTTTTTCAAGGCAGTTGAGACGAATGTTTGAGATACTTTCAACGTATTTAAAAAAAAGGTCTTTCATACTCTAATAGTCTGATCTGTATTTTCTAAGTAATAAGTCCGTGTATATTGTCTGGAACCCTCACGCTCTCCAGTTCTTGATCTTTTCCTGACAGTCCTTACGACTTTGACATGAGACGCAACAAATTGTCTTTTATGATTTATATCCGTATCTGGGTTCCAAAATGCTGTATTTATGCTTTTACGAAGGTCTTCATTGAAATTAGTGGTGCACTTGAAGCGGCAGCTATCTGCACAAGGCATTCCGATTCTCTTAGCCGATATAATCTTACTTTTTGATCTGTGTTCCAGCCCTGAAGCTACTTTTCGTTTGTTTATATTAATTTTCCAGTTTTTTGTGTTACGTGCCCTTTTTCTAGATTTCCTGATACACCTATCTGAAGACTTTTCTTCACCAGATGAGCTCTCCGTTTCGCTATTGTAAGTTGGATCGTTTATACTATCATCGGAATCAAGTGGTTGTGTATGAAGTACTTCCCCACAAGCGGCATCTAGAAGATAGATCATTAAAATTTGACTCGTAAAAACAATACTCTTTTTAATACCGTTATTTCCCAAATATTCATCAGAAGATTTGCATCCGTTGTTTCCCGTGGAAACAGGCTGCTCTCTGTGAAGCTGTTCTTCACTAGTGGGTGTTGAAGATTTATCTAAATAGACCAAAATACTGCCGTGCTTAGCAGAAACGCCGTATATACAAAAAAATTGAAAAATGAGTTTTTTACATATTCTTGCTTGAATTCATGTTTTCTATATATAGAACTTAGCAAAAATGCCGTTTGAAGCATCTTAACCATAAAACAACATAACTATTTTGCAGTAACTAACAAAAATTTGGTTCCATGCTCATTAAAACTGCCATATCTCACATTATTTAGCATAAATGCAACATCTTCCAGTCAGATTCTGCGTTTTTGCTAAGTACATGTGAATTGCCGCGTTCCTCCCAAGTACAAGTCGTGTCTTGACTGTTATTAATTATTATGATGATGCATTAAAAACATGGTCAGTTGTTTGTTTTGGTCCGTGCGGATTAGAAGTGTTTTGTTGAGGGTTGTTTTATTATGTCCAAAAGAACGAAACTAATTTTGGATCTAGCCATGGGTGCTACATACCAAGCTCCAGCTAGTATTTCTGAGTTACCTACACAAACCATTCTATTTGACATAAAAACTCAATTTTTATGATTTTTAGATTGCTAAGGATGCTAATCTTACAAAAGCTGGAACTAAACGCAAAAGAAAAAAATCACCGAGAGTTTGTTAAGCAGGAAAAAGAAAAAAGCCGAATTAATAAAAGCGCAACATCCTGTCGGTCTTTCGTGTAATAAGGAAAAATGTAAAATTAGATGTTCAGTACTTTTTTCTGAGGATCACAGACGTGAAATCCATAACCAGTTTTGGGAACTATCTCATGCAGAAAGAAGATCATTTGTTTTAAGCTCTTGCGAACGTTTGGAAATTAAGCGTCGAACAACAGAAAAGAATGCTGAATCACATGTTAGACATAGTGTTTTCAAATACACCTTCAAAGACAGCTCTGGGGTAAAAAAACATGTGTGTAAACATTTTTATTTGACCATTCTCGGATACAACTCAACGAATGATCGATTCATTTATGAAGTTCTATCAAAAACGCCAAAAGGAATCATAGTACCGTTAGAAGACCAACGGAAAAGTCGCTCAGCAAACTTTATTTAAAAAATGAGTTAGATGCACATATTGAGTCTTATAATCCAGTTAGTTCACATTACAGACGTGCACATGCACCGAATGTTCGATATCTTCCCAGCGATATAACTGTCAGACGCATGCATGCTGATTTTTTAGAAACATTTCCTAATATTAAGGTATCGTATAATATATATAGATGTCAGGTTGAAAAGAAAAATATATCTTTTGCTAGACTTGGCAATGAAGAATGTGAGATTGTGTGAGTATGAAGCTTTATGAGCATAATGAAGATAATCTTCAACCTGGATGTGAAACCTGCACGATTTGGAAATATATCACATTGATATGGCTAAAGAGTCACGAGAAAAGTACCGACAACAAGCGCATGATAATGAAAAAAGTAACTCTTATTTTTCTGCTGACTTAAAGAAAGTGATAATGTTGCCAAGCTTAGAGACATTTAAAAGGGTCTTATTTATCCAAAGGCTTTCAGTTTATAATGAGAGCTTCGTTCCACTGGGGAAAAAGAGTCTGGCAAAACCTTTTGCAGTACTTTGGCATGAAGGTATAAGCGGAAGAGACCAAGATGATGTTACAAGTGCATTTTATGCATTTTTTAAAAAACAAGGAGACTTAGAAAAAATCACTGTTAGGCTTGATAACTGCTCAAGCTAAAACAAAAATTGGTGCTTATTAAGTTTCCTTGTTTTCATTATAAATTCAAGTGAAATAAGTGCTGAAGAAATTGTCATTAATTATTTTGAACCAGGACATACATATATGTCAGCAGACCATTTTTATCATCAAGAGGAGCTGTCCTTAAAGAAACAAGGAAAAACGTATGATTTTCCAGATTTTGTTGATGCTGTATCCCAAACAAATAAGGGAGCAGTAGAAATCAAAAACATGTCTTTTTCAGATTTCTATTCTTTCAAATCTTTCGTTTCACAACAAAAATTAAAGAAACAAATGAATCGAATTTATCTCAAAGACATTGTTCAGATTACCGCTCGCAGAGGGCAATATTATCTTCTTTTCAAAACCTCACATTCGGAATGGGAGCCGAATAATTGTTTAGATTTTCTACAGTTTAAAGCAACCAAGCCCAATGGTATGAAATTGCCGGAGCCGTTACATAAGCCTCGCGGTTTTAATTCAGAAAAAAAGGAAAACATTTTAAAAGTGTTGAATACAATAATGCCTGAAAACAGAAAAGATTTTTGGCAAAATATACCTGCTAGAGCTGATTCTAATTAGTGTTGTTCTTTGGTATTTAGCGCATATCATTATGAATATTTGTATTTTTGTTTTTAGTTTGTAAGAGAATCAAAACAAAAAGTCTGTTTTTAAATATATCGAGAGTATAATTCTATCTGTCACAAATTATTGGAAAGTAATTAGCAGAAACACTTAGCAAAAACGCAGTACCGCATTAATCTCAAGCAACATGTGACTTTCATTATACTTCTTGTTTAAGAGAAATGCAGTATCTGGCTTGAAAATAAAACCAGTCATTTTTTTTCTACAGTTTTGTGAAAATATGTTTTCTCAATTGAATATACTTGGTTATGACAATAGAAGGCAGCGAAAGTATTTGAACTCTCTTACGGCTCTGAAAAAAAGAAAAAACATGTTTTCCTCCATGCTTTATTTTTTGTAGATGCGGTGTTATCGCTAAGCACGGCAGAATACTTCCATCGGCCGTTTCGGCCACAATTTCTCTTGTATCATCAATTTGTTGCCTATCAACGTTTTCCTCACAAACTATACCTAGAAAATGAGACATAAAAATGAAAATCAACTTAACTGAACAAGGTTCTTAAATTCCATCTATAAGACCTGTACCTGAAGATGCGTCAGAAACGTTGACTCCTAAGAGGATACCTTTTTTTGCCACGGCACCTGATAAACAAGACAAAAATTAATGCAGAAGTGACAAAGAATAGTCACTGGGTTCACTACGACTTGATATTTGTCTATAAATAGTGTCTTTTTTCTGACAAGAATAACACTGCTTCGAGTGGATAATAGTATCAAGTCCATAGGACGTGATATGCAACGGACCTAATACTCGTATATGATGGACTTGATACTCGTTAGTTAACAGCAAGAAATCAATCAATGGAATCAGTATTCCACCAACAACATTGAAATGAAAACATAGATTCAGTATCGTACACTACTTCGCAATAGTCAAAGTAATTCAAACGATTTTCCACATCATGCGGTACAAAAACTAAACATTGTTTTGAGGTTAGAAATAGCTTACCTTTATTTTTTATCTCATTTCCAAGAGATTCATGTGAACTGGAACACAGTTTCATTATATGTGCTGCTCTAGAATGCATCATTATAACTGCTACTTAATAAACTACCTCACAAGAACTATGAACAGCACCGAACGATTCACCCACCACAACACACGTGCTTATATGGACTTGATACCCTTTTGTCCTCGAATAGTTTTGGCGCCAACTGGACTCAGTACACAAAAATACAAGTACGGAATCTGAAGAAGGTAGTCCTATGTCCTTAATAATCTTAATACTCTTTTCATCTATAAGTGCATGGGACTTGATACTGTCTTAAAAACGGTATCTTTGTTGTTAACACTGATAGGACTTCGTACGGTATCGCATTTAAAACATGACTTGATACATGAGCATTTTTGATGGAAAACTAGATTTTAGACTTTTTGGACTTGATACACTTTTATCCTGAGGTACAGATATGTGAGTTTGTCATTTAAAAAGATACAAATATATGTACTTTGAAATACTTAAAGAATGAATGTGGGTGTTTATTAATGTTTAGTGTTGGACTGTGCTATACCAATAATTTATCATTTTTATATATTGCTTTAGGCTGTTGGTAGATGGAAATCGAAGGTTAAGGCAAAAGCAGCTGAGGATCGAGAGCCAAAAAACTGGTGGTGGCTGTTTAAATGCTGCTCCTTTAACAGACACAGAGGAGCGACTAATGAAATTAATTGGTTGGAAATCAGTAACAGGGAATAGCAATGCAGAGCTGAGATTGGTAATTATGTGATTTGATACATTTAAATAAAATTGTAAGTAGAATTGTAATATGCAGGGTGAGCTTTCAGTGTGGCCTCGGTTGATAACTCTGTTATTAGACATGATATCAATCAATCAATTTTCAAATGAGGCACCCTGTATATTTTAACATCTCATTGCCCTTTAACAGGGTTGACTTTTTGTAATTCAGATTTGAATGAAAAAAAATGAAAAATATTACATTACATTCTCAAATAAAACATAGCATAATGGCAGAGTTAGCAACTGAGACCTCACGAAGAATTAACCCAGTATGTACTTACAATACAAACATTTTTATCTACAGGGATCCATCCGGCCCATCGCAGCACACCTGCCACTGCCAGAATTGAAACCCTTCATAGAAGGAAACACCGGTAAAACTGCAATACCAGATCCTCAACCTTCTAGCAGCACGGTATTGAAGTCGCCTCCAACACTAAGGTTACTTAATCAAGAACCAGCCAGAAAACGTAGTCGAATAGCTACTGAAAAATCAAGTTTGTTTCCTTGGCAAAAATGCATCAGGAAAAAATTGAGAGATATTGTCAAACGACAGGCTGAAGCCCAAGAAACAATGGCTGGAACACTTAAAGAACTTTTGGCCTATATAAGAACAATAGATAAAAATGAATAAACATAATAGTGCATTGTAAACAATGTGATTTTAGTTTTAGAAGTATAAATAATATTTATTTATAGAATTTATTTTTATTTGCTCTTAGATTGTTTGACTGAATAATGATTTAAGATTTAATTTTTTTCATTGTAATGTTTGTTTGTGGAAAACCTTTGTTTTTGTTTCATGGTGTTTTTCACAATAAAATATTTTTTTTAATTTTAGTTTCATTTTATTTGAAATATCTATCTAACATTTTGAAAATACAATTATATTATGTTGGCTCTCCTTGCCTGCCCTTGTTCAAGAACATTGCTTACAATAGCATCCAAATCTGGAACATCATTATCAGCTTGCTCCTCTTGATCTTCCATATCCAAATTAGCCCTAACACACATGTTGTGTCGGACTCTAGTGGCATTGATAATTTGACCAGCTTTGAAGGGAGCATAATGTAAGACACTGTCTTTCAATAGACAGCGAAACGTATTTTTCAAAACTCCTAAAACAAAATTTTCTCATTTAGCACAAAAATATATTAAAAATAAACATTTTTTATAAAATACCTCTACATCTTTCCACACAATTCTTGGTTCTTGTCAAAGCTGCCATATATCTAGCTTCAGGAGTATCAGTAGGCATACCTTGAATAGGAGCCATAAGACATGGCTCTTGTGGATAACCACTATCACCAATTAGCCACGAATTATGATCACCATTATTGTAGATTTCTTCTAAATGAGTCCTTACATTGGCATTTCTCCAAATAAAAGCGTCACGAGATGCTCCACCATAATTTGCTTTTATATTTAGAATCAATAGATTTGCATCACATATTAATTGTACATTTTTTGAATGATCTTGCTTTTTATCGAAATATAGATGCTCATCCTCTTGAGGTGTAACAATGGCAATGCAGCCTATTACTCCTGGAAATCCAAATTGCGCCATAAACTGTTCTTTTTTCTGTTGCTATTCAGCTTCACTTAATGGGAATTTTACCCATCTATGAGCAATTGATTCTAGAGCCAGACAAACTTCATACACTGCTCTGCTAAATGCTGGTTGTGACAATGCCACATACGCTTCATTTCCTCCTGCCTTCTGATATGAGCCCTGAGCAAGAAACCTTAGGGCACCAAAGATCCTTATATGGACGGGAATTCTTGTGCCTCTTGCTCCTGCATCCATATGAGGGGTAAGATCACGAATGAGATCTTGTACCAACTGCCGACTAAGTCTGAAGCACTTTCGGAACTCTCGTTCAGGCAATTCGAATGCATTTTGTTGATCTCGTAAAGTTCTCCGCTCCAAACGTAATTGGTTTTGTGTTTCTTCATCTTCTGCGTCCTGTAGCAAATGAAGGAATATTGGCTCCACACTTTTACATGTAGATGCTATTTTCGGTACTTCTACCTCCTTAGATAAACTTGCACGAGTCGTAAAATCTAAATTATTCTTAATTCGGAATTTCCCAACAAATTGACAAATTAAACAAGCAAAATATTTTATATCGTCGCCAACTTACCCGAATGACTTCCGAGATTTCCCTAAAAGATGTCAATGTTTTTACAATGGATAGTTCACATTTCTCTATAACCGAACGTATCCGAACGCTCGTAGAGAGAACAGTTCAGAATAAGTTCACGACATAGAAAGAAATTTCCTTTCTATACTTAATGAAAGAAATTTCTGTTTCTAGGACTATACAGAATACGCGTGATACAGAATACGCATGCTGGATGTTCGATACCTCGTTTTAGATGCGTAATTACGCATAGAGCCACACGCAGCGGGGATGTTAAATACAATCTGACTGTGAAGAGAATTCCCTGTGCTTGTCAATGTGGCATGGCGTTTGCAGATTATGCAAAATTTTGCGGCAAATCCTGTACTGACAGTTGATATTTTTGTCATATTTTGAGCGTATGAAAACAGTTATTTTTACCAATTAAAGTAAGGGTTGTGGTCAGAATAACTCCGCAGACGTAAAAACATGAATAGTTCATCAATAGGAAGACAACGTAGTAGCTCCAAGTAGCTCCAGCTCCATCGAATGGAAGCCAAATCCTTAGAGGAATACCGCATGGGTCACGTGATCTCCTGTAGTCATCCAGTCGTCTCTGGATGCAGTTTTTGTAGTCGATGACAGGGATCAAGCAGTTCAAGCCCACACCTGCCATTAGGTAAATCGAGAACCCTACAAATAACGGATTTCAATCACAGTAATATTCTAATCACTAGGAAAACAATTAGAGCAATTCCTTGCATCGCGGACTAAGAATAACATCACTGTTTTCGATATTTTATACGCGTCCTTCCATTTATTCAACCTGACCAAGTACGACGGTGGTCAACGTTGTGACGTCATAATCAGTAACCAGAAAATGACAATGAAAAATGTGGTGTGAAATCACAATTTTAGGTTGTAATAACTTTTTGACTGTAAACAGAAGAACATAAAATGCAATAATTCCACTTATTCTTACGTATTTCCATGTACAAAATTAGGTTAATCAGGTAAGATGCCATCGGGCTAGTGGTGGCAGTTATTTGACCGGTACTGTGTTTCATGTTGAAATGTCAAGGTTCATTTCCAATAAAACAAAAAAAAATAAAAATAGTTCCGTTAGTTTCTTTTCTATAGCCGTCTCAAATTTCAAATTTTTAATGGTCCACCATATAGTAACTAAATTTTCAAAATCTGCTCAAAATAACTTACTTCTTTAAGCAGAATACGAAACTGTAAATTACCAAACTTTTGTCGTGATCGTGAATTAAAAAAGAAACACATGAAGGTTTTCGAAGCTGAGGAGGGCCAGATTTACACAATATCTCCAGAATGAAGCTCTCTACTATATTCCTTGTAGTATCATCCAGAGTTTGTAACTCAGTAAAAAATAATCATGAAACTTGAGAGTTCAGCGATGTATCTACATATAACGATTGTTACTATTTTGAATAGTTTTTACAGATAAACCTCCTATGAGCTTTGTCCTAATATACCGGCAGGTATTGCAAATTCGATTCTCGCCATTGGAATCTCGGAAACGGTAAAAAACAGTCGCTTAAATGGGGCTAAGTTAATTCAAAAAATCGGTATAGGGAGTTCGGTCCTGCTACCGAGTCAGTTAGTCTATCTGATAGTGAGCTCGTGAATTTACCATATTAAAAGTGAACCATAACACAAGCAATTTTCGACTTGCTACCATATAGTGCAAATCACGAACCAGGACGCATTGTGAGTAGGAAATATTGTGCTATATACCGAAGACATACGTAAATCAGTGGATCAAATATTCAACATTCCAATCTCAAGCATTCGGAAAAAACGCGTACAGAATTTGGACCTCGAAAGAACAAGTCCGTATTCAGAAATGATATTTTCCCATACTGATATAAAACATTAGCAACAATGACATCAACAGCGATTAACCAACCCACACACTATTCCACAATTCTAACTACATATAAACATCCAACTAAAGAACAAGCTATAGTTTTCAATTCCACAGACGGAGCAAGAATACAAGATTACTTGCTCCAATTAGGACCAATGATTGACCCGAAGAAAATTTTGTTTTGCTCTAGAATTTCCAATAACAGAATTTGCATATACCTCTCCAGCAAGGAATTAGTAAATAAATTCGTAGAGAACCCAGGGGAAATTGTAATACAAGGAGAAAAAATTAAGGCCCGTAAATTAATTTCACCATCGGACAGGTTAGTGCTATCGAACGTCTGCCCAACAATACCACACGCAGTTTTAAAGGAAAAACTACAAGACCTAGGCTTGAAATTACTATCTTCCATAACATTTTTGAGAATCGCAGCAACAGTACCAGAATACAATCACATATTAAGCTTCAGGAGGCAGGTATACATTACACCTCTAGAATCTAACCAAATACCTGAGTCCATCGAAATCACTCACGATAGTATATCATATCGCATCTTCTTATCGCTAAACAGTCAGAAATGTTTTAAATGTAAACTTTCTGGTCATATTGCTTCACACTGTCCTTCTGTAAACAACACACCACTGACAAATAACAGCAACACACAATATAGTCAGCCAGAAATCCCAGCCACCGAAACCACTCAAAGCATAGAACAGAATCATAGCAAAACAACAGTTTTTCTCCCTTCATCTCAACCAAGCAACAAGGAAATACCAGTACAGACATCCAACACCTCACATGAACCACAAAGCGTAACATTCAGTAGCAGCCAGGCAAATATAATAGATAAAGCACCCAACAAAAGACCCATTTCAAATATTTTAACACGTCCAGCAGCAAATACACCCAACAGTCCTATGTTCACTACTCCAAGAAACATTAACACCAAAAAGCATAAGTCGGAAACTGGACCGTTGATCATACAAGACGATACTTTATCTCCAATTAAAGCATTTATAGACAGCCATACCCTACCACTTGCGTTAAATGAGTTAAAAGAGTTTACTGGAAAACACACATGGGCTACAAGACATAACAAATATCATAAACGACTATACAGATGATATCAAGGGACTTACAGAAATGTTACTACTAATATATTCTCATATAGATGACAGAACGCTAAAAAACCGCTGCACCAGACTTCGGAAGAAACTGGAACGCCTCATCGACAAAAGTCTCAATGACTCTCTTAGCGATACTTCGTCAATAGACACATCTTTTTACTAAAATAAGAATCATGTCAATATTGCAATGGAACTTAAATGGATACTATGTCCATTTAAACATGTTAAAAAAACTGATAGCTGATTATACACCAGATGTCGTTTGCCTCCAGGAAACGCATTTCCACGACACAAAATCACACTCACCCAAAAACTATGCAGGGTTTTTCAAAAACAGGCAAAGACCCACAGCAAGCGGTGGAGTCTCAATATACGTCAAAAGGGAGATACCTGTCCGACCAATTCCATTAAATACAAACCTAGAAGCTATAGCTATATGTATAGACCTCAAAGATGTACTCAACATATGTAACATTTACATCCACCAGACTACCATTTGGAACCTGCCGAATTCCAAGCTCTTTTAGAACAAATACCCAGCCCTAGAATAATATTAGGAGACTTCAACGCCCACAGCATCTCGTGGGGCTCTTTTAAAAATGAT